AGACGGGTGGAGGGAACCAGGCTCGACTCGCGAGCCACAATGGTATGAACGTGTGCGAACGCGGTGTAAAGGGGGCCATATGCGAACGGATCTACAACCCCACTTTAAACCGGAAGGGAAGACTACTTTTAGTATAATTAGAGCTCTCTAGTACATGGGACACCGCCCTGCCACAACCCAAAGGACAGTAGCAGTTCCTAAGGTGTTTTCCAACCATAGAAACTACCCTATATATCAATGACCTTATGGACCTTTGTCATGTTCAACCGTTTTTTTCTAGTTGCTCATATATGCTTTATCGTCAGTTCTGTTATTTCATTAGTGACGCGGAAAAAGAGTGGTGAATGTGACTCGAAACGTCCGGATATTATCTCCGTAATTCATTCAGTAGTAGAGTTTGAATTTCCTACAAGAATAGACCGACATGCGTCTGGACAGCAAGTCGGCAGAACGTACTGCGCCTGCGCAGAACCCTTTTTTTTTACGTTTTTTTCGGTGGATTTTTGGTCAACGTTGCATCAAAATTTTGCCTGTTGCAGAATATATCTTTCCCGACATAACATTTGGAAACTACGGACGGAGTTTTAACATTATATGCGCATATGCGGAATGTGAGTTACCCGAATCGCGGTTTGGGTGATTCCACTTAGACATGGCCTTTAATGTCGTCATCACAGCTGTCAGTCAAGCTGGGCTGTACGCGACTGAGAGTTTCGTGCTGTCCTATCCGGGCAGTGGGTAGATAAACAAGTTAAAATTCTATACTTTGGGTTAGTTGTACAATAAAACTAAACCCAGCAATTAAGAAGCAAAAGAATTTCACTAAATTTAGAGCTACATCAATCTATTTGCTAGAATGATGTCTTTTCAATTTACTTACTAGGAACATAAACTTTCGGTCGTTGATTTAATTGCGGAGTACTAGTACCTATTAAGATAGCATAATTACCTCTAATGTACTTCGTTTATTTCTTTACTTAAAAGGTGTACTAAGTAGGTTTTCAAGAAACCAAGTGTGCTTACTAGGGTTTAGAAGAAACCAAAAGGAAAAATTGTTGACATTTGGTAAATGAAGAATTTGATAAAGTAAGGTAAAAGATAAAGAATAATCAGATCAACTCGTAGTAATACGAGTGATGGCTAACCTACTAAGGGTTCGACTGATGGCTAACCTTTGACCTGACCTAGTGCTGGACGGATTGACGAATGACTAACCTTTGACTTAACATCGGGTTGAACTGGTTGATGGCTAACCTTTGACCTGACCTAGTGCTGGACGGATTGACGAATGACTAACCTTTGACTTAACATCGGGTTGAACTGGTTGATGGCTAACCTTTGACCTAACCTAGTGCTGGACAGATTGACGAATGACTAACCTTTGACTTAACATCGGGTTGAACTGGTTGATGGCTAACCTTTGACCTGAACTAGTTGTGGACGGGTTGATGGCTAATCTTTGACTTAATATTGAGTTAGACTAACTCGTAGCTAACTCTGGTTTTAATGGGCTGATGGCTAACTTTCATTTATAAACTTTGACGAAGTGGGGCGGGGTAAGTAGAAAGTAAATCTAACATTAATCCAACAAGATCTGGACTGAACTGCGGTTTCCTAAACTGTTGTCTAGAGGTCCATCCATTAATGAAACCGGGAGCCACAATTTCAAGTCACAGTTGGACCATTGTATTGTTCACCGATATCAATGATAATAATACAACATTCAGAACTATCAGTTCTTAGTTGGCAAAATTTTTAACACACAAAATACTTCCCTACAACACTTAGACAATGACTCATTATTAACTTGTCAATAAACATCTTTCCAATACTTTCTGTCTCCAGAATAGCAAGATATTTACTACTACGAACAAAATTATAAATCTTCATCCTGATAGGAGCTTTCTTCTATCCCTTTTCTAGACATCTATACACAAGAACTATGTCAATATACATCAACCATTAGAAAATATAATACAGAAGTCACTTTTTGCTACATTTTCATCACCTGTACAAAACATACAAAAGTTGGTAAGTTGGTAACAATCACAAAGTCATAAAATGTAGTCTGCGTAACGTAATCACAAGATGAACCTTTGTCACGTTATTTTATATAATTCTACTAGCTCCAGATTTCCACATGTTCTGGTGTTTCCACAACAACTAAAGAAAATTAGACAAGCTTTACAATGGCAGGTCTAAATGGGAATCGAGCCCAGGTCTTTCTAGACTGGGAACATACAACCAATACATTTATAAAGCTTAAGAAACTATATACAGTTTTCCAAACGTCAAAACAGAATCGTCGTCCATAATCATAGTCCAATTCCATGCGAGGGTTGGTCTCCAGTCCTTGTTGTAAGCCACAGGTATCAGAGTTTCTCATTTATCAAATGTCTGGAACAAGATGTCTGTCAGTGTTACAATACTTGAAGTACTTACTTGTACACTAAGGAATATGTTGATATGATTATATGTTTGCTTCAAAGTGTTCTGAGAACTAAGATTAACATGCGTTTGATGTTCTGTCCCACAATAAGGCTTAAGTGTTTTTGTATCTGGTACATTATTTTTAAAAATTCTTGAGGTATTGCCTGAAAAAATAGGGCTAAAGAAGTTCAAACGAGGTCTCAGGCGGTAGAACGTTTTGTATCCTTTGGGGAATTTTTGTAACATTTTTATTCCATGATCAGGTACGTCGTGGTTTTGCTGACACGTTAGAGTTGACGTACGTGTGAATCCGTGGAAGTGGATCCGGAATTCTCTCTGTCTGAGGCATGTCCGAGTCTTGTGGATGTGCTGACACGTTAGAATTGACGTACGTGTGAATCCGTGGAAGTGGATCCGGAATTCTCTCTGTCTGAGGCATGTCGAACCTTGTGCATGTGCTAACGTAGGTTGTCCTTTGTAGGTTGTCGTAGGATTCGTGGAAGTGGATCCGGAATTCTCTCTGTCTGAGGCATGTCGAACCTTGTGCATGTGCTAACGTAGGTTGTCCTTTGTAGGTTGTCGTAGGATTCCTCGTGATTGTCGTAGCAGGCACTGCGGTTGTCGAAGGAGGCCCCACGGTTGTCGTCGGAGGCCCTACGTAGGTTGTCGTAGGACGCCCCATGCTTGTCGTAGGTTTCTCCACGGCTGTCACAGAACAACCTAAGGTTGTCGTAGGAGGCCTCGTGGTTTGTTGGCGCGGCGGACATTTCCAAGCGGTGTGGCTGTGCTGAGACGCTGCAGTTAATGTAGGTGCGAGTCCGGGGAAGTGGGTCCGGAATCATATCTGCCTGACACATGATGTCCGAGTCTTGTGAATGTGCTGACATGTTAGAGTTGACATACATGTTGGTCCGTGGAATTGGATCCGGGATGTCTTCTGCTTGAGCCATCTCCAAACCAGAGTGCCGTTTTATGCCGTTCAGATCAAGGTAAAGGTTGGGGCCGTCGACGTTCTCGTCTTCGCCCATCCCCGTCCATTCGTAGGAGGCTCTTCCACGGGTTCTTGGCAGGGTAGCCGTCCCCAAACGTTTGGAATGTGCTGAGACGCTTGAGTTGATGTCCTCTTCTTGAGAAATGTCTGAGCCAGAGTGGCGTGGTGGGCCGTTCAGGTCAAGGTACAGGTTGACGCCTTCGACCTGTGAGTCGTAGGAGGCACTGCGGTTGTGGTAGGAAACCCTGCAGTTGTCGTAGGAGGCCGTTCGGCTGCCGCAGGATGCACTGCGGTTTCTTCGCCTAGCAGACATGCCTGCACGGTTTGCCTGTGCTGACACGTTAGAGTTGACGCACCTGTTGGTCTGGGGAGGTGGGACGTCTTTTGCTCGAGTCGTGGCCGTGCCTGGTGGGTAGTAATGAGAGTCGCCGGCGGCGATGCCTGGCCTGTCGGATCGCGGAGGTGGAACTGGGGCATTCCCCAGGCTGGGCCCTGGCCGAGGGTCTGGAGACGCCGAGGTCGCACCTCTTGGTCCCATCCCGTCTGCGTCGTACATGGGGTTTTCCAGACGCGACGTTTCCGCATACGGGGTAATGGATGCATCGTCCGGGGTGTCATCGTTCGCCTGTTGAGGGGGTACAGGGTTCCCAGTCGTGGGGGCTGCTGCCGGTGGCTGGAGGTTTTGCAGCGGTATGCCTCCTTTGGCGCCCGCGGCGTAGCCGTGTAAGTTTTGCCGTGGCTCTTGTCGCTTCTCGTACCACTTCTTGCATCGGGTCACTACCCTATCAGCAACTATCGCAGCCACGATTATGATTCCCAGGCTGTAAAATACTATCATCATGATATCCAGTGGAGTATAATCTGATGGAGTGGCGCCGTCTTGTTTGCCGTCCTTGCCCGTGATTTTGCTCATGCTTCCTGTAACCGTTCCGTTATGCCGGGTAGATTTGGGGGTGTGGACTGCTGTCATGGCGGTGCGCCGTTGAGCCTTATCATCTGCCGGAGTGATGCCATCCTGCCGGGGGTTCTTGTCCGGGGTTTGGGGGACCCTTTCTGTCATCCTTGCGTTCCGCTGGGCAGGTGTTGTCACGGTGTGGTCGTGCCATGGGTCTTGCTCGCTTGACTTGGTCAGCGGCAGATCTTCAAAGACGCTGCCTGTTGCGGACTTCACGACGCACCGGAAGCTGCCCCCCGTCCAGCACTGGTAGGCTTGCGGGTCCATGTGGAGGGTGGAGGTGGACCGGCCGATGTAGGGTAGGTTGGGGGCATCATTTGGGTGCGCCTTTCCTCCTTCAGGAGACTGGGTGGTGGGGTACTCGTGCTCCAGGCGTGTGGTCACCGTGCCGCCGCATCGGTCTTGTGCCTGACGGTCTCCAACGGCCCTCCCTCTTGGATCCATCCACCCGATCTCCGGTCGCTTCTCCCAGAAGACCTCACACACGAGAGTGGTTCCGCGGTCTCGGCGTGACACCTTGGCTGCGGGTGGCGGGCACGGCATCTCTCCACTCGTAACGTCGTCAACCTTTCTCCCTGAGAGGCTAGGAGGGTAGTTGCACTGCATTCTGTCCCGATTGTCGAAACAACGGGAAGACGGTGAAGGCCTCGCCAGCGCACAGGTACAGCGGAAGGGATTCTCCTGGATAGAGATACTCCTTCTACTTATGCACATGGTAGTGAGCGACTTTACTGGGATGGTCAAGATCAGGTTGTTGTTGAGATGGATAAGCCGAGTGTCCCTTGATAACCCCTGTAGCCACTCAGTGCCGAGGAACGATAGCTTGTTGTGATCCAGGTAGAGCAAGCGTAGCCTAGACAGACGGTCGAACGACTTCCCAGCGATCTGCGAGATGTTGTTGTAGTTGAGGTGCAGATACACGAGGTTGGTCAGGCTTGAGAAGTGAGATTCTTCCACAGCAGGAAGCCGGTTATGCTTGAGCTCAAGATATTTCAGCCGTCTCAGTGGCTGGAAAGCATTCTCCTTGATTTCCACGATTTTATTCCAAGACAGCACCAGCTTTTCCAGCTTGGTGACCCCGCCAAACCAGCTTCCAACGGTTTTGATGGCGTTCTTTTCCATGGATAGCGTCGAAATACCTGGCACTGGTGCGAACGCTTCTCTTCCAACGGTGCGGACGCTTCCGGGCCCGAGGATCAGATGCCGGAGCTGGCCAAGGCGGGGGAGTGGTTTCAGCTCGCCGCTTCTGTCGGAGTGCCCCGCCACTTGCAGCTTCTTCAGATCGCCTGGGAGACACATGAGCGGATTCCCATCGGCCTGCCCGGTCGTGTTGCACGTGGCACAGGGCATGGTGCCTCCACTCGCGACCATTATGATCCCCCCGAGCCTAGGGCAGGACCCAGTGCGCCTTACCACACAGAGCCTAGCACAGGGCGGGCCGGCCTGACTCGGGCCAAGCGCGAGGAGGAACAGGACAAAAAGGGACAGCCTCGGGCCAGCCATTGCAGATTCGTTGTGACTTAATACAACATCTAACCAACCCTGACACCACAGATGTTTTAGGATTTACTTAAGCTATGAGAGTCCTTAAACAAACTTTAAAAGATATATTGAGTTCTACAGAGTTCTTGCCCCAAACAGCTGGTTGTTCAGATCGACCCCCTGCCTTTTCCACCAGGAGTCATGTTGAACGCCCGGTATCCTTATGCTGAAGTAACCTGTAAGACACAAAGATTCATCATGTAAGTCTGTCTTGTATCCAATAACGACTCATAATACTTGACCATTTGTAAAGCTCCTTTTAAATTCAGATCTGACGATCTGATATACTAGGAGTCCCATTATCGTTTTATTGTATATAATATCAGCCACTAAGTGGGTGGCTAATCCATGGCTCATAACAGCACAATACTACATGCATCACAAACTGCAGTAGTTAAAACGGGGAACTATTTTCCTACGGCCCACAATACGTGCTTAGATTCCAGTGCAGGACCTGACAGCCGCCAGTGTACAGTGTACATGTGAAAATTGGATTCTGCAAAATGGCAGGCTAGATGAGTAATTGAGGCTGTGACCCATCAAAAATAATTGAATAAATGTGACTTACTAGAAATAATTGTATTGACCACCGAAAAAAAGTTACCCATCGAAAATAACCCACAAAAAACATTTAATTGACCAACCGAAAAAATAAAAGTGAAACACTCAAAATAAATAAAATGACCCACATAAAATGATTAAAGTGACACACAGAAAAATAAAAGTGACACACCGACAATAATTAAACTGATCCACCGAAAATATAGGGAGTGATTCACCGGAAATAACTAAAGTGACCCACCGAAAATGATAAAAGTCACCTAACAAAAATAATAAAATTCACCCACCGAAAATAATAGAAGTGACCCACCAAAAATAATTAGTGACCTATCGAAAGCGATAAAAGTAACCCACTGAAAATGATTTTAAATCATTTTAAAGTTACCTACCATCGAAAAATATTTACAAGTGACCTACCAAAATAATTAATGTGACCCACTGAAAGTAATTAAAGTGACCCAGCAAAAAAGTAAAAGTGACCCACCGGAAATAATCATTGACCCACCATAATAATAAAAATGACCCACCGAATATAATTAAAGTGACCCATCGAAAATATTTAAGTGACCCACCGAAAAGAATTAAATAAATGTGACCTACTAAAACAATTGTATTGACAAAAAAAGTTACCCATCGAAAATAACGATAGTGCCTCACGGAAAATAATTAAAGTGAACCACAGTAAAAAAATTAAATTGACCAACAAAATAATAAAAGTGACGCATCAAAAAAAAAATAAAGTGAAACACCCAAAAATAAATAAAGTGACACACAGAAAATGATTAAAGTGACCCACCGAAAAAATAAAAGTGACCCACCAAAAATAATGAAAGTGACCAACTGAAAATAAGAAATGTGACCTACCTAAGAAAATTAGTGAACCACCTAAAATAATAATAAGTGACCCACCAGAATAATAAAAGTGACCCACCAGAATAATAAAAGTGACCCACCAGAATAATAAAAGTGACCCACCAGAATAATAAAAGTGACCCACCAAAAATAATAAAACTGACCCACCAGAATAATAAAAGTGACCCACCAGAATAATAAAACTGACCCAATAGAATAATAAAACTGACCCACCAGAATAATAAAACTGACCCACCAGAAAAAAAAGTGACCCACCAGAATAATTAAAGTGACCCACCGAAAAAAATTGTGACCATTGAAAATGATAAAAGTAACCCGCCAAAAATGATTAAAGTGACCTACCTAAAATAATTAAAGTGACCCACCGAAAATAATTAAAGTGACCAGCCGAAAAAAATAAAAGTGAACCAACGAAAATAATTAAAGTGACCCACCGAAATAAATTGTAGTGACCCACTGAAAATGATAAAAGTGACCCACAAAAAAATAAATTAGCTAAGGCCAAGAAAAAAATAAAGTAACCCACCAAAGATGATTAATGTGACATGCCAAAAATATTCATAGTGACCAACGTAAAATAATAAAAACGACCCACAAAAAATAATAAAAGTGACCCACTAAGAAAAATTAAATCACACAACAAAGAATAAATAAATTGACCCACCAAAAATAAAGTGACCCATCAAAAATAATTAAAGTGACCAAGAAAAAGTAATGAAAATTACCCATAAAAAAGTGACCAACCAAAAATGATTTAAGTGACCCACCGAAAATAAAAGTGACCAACCTAAAATAATACAATGAAACACCGAAAATAAAAAAAAAAGTTACCCACCGATAATAACAAAAATGACCCACCGAAAATAATTAATCATCCATAAAAAATAGTAAAAGTGACCAACCCAAAATAATTAAAATTTACTCACCAAATATAATTAATGTGACCAACCTAACATAATTAGACACCTATCAAAATAATAAATGTGACCAACAGAAAATAATAAAAATGAACCATCAAAAAATAAAAGTGACCTACCGATAATAATTAAAGTGACCCAACCAAAAAAACGAAAAAATTAAAGTGACAAACCAAAAATAGTTAAGAGTGACCCACCAAAGATAATTAAATGGACCAAACTAAAATAATTCACCCATCGAAAATGATAAAGGTGACCAACAGAAAAAAATTAAAATAAACCATCGAAAAAAAAGTGACCAACCTAAAATAATACACGTGAACCACCGAAAATAAATTAAGTGACCCACCGAAAAAATTAAAGTGACCCACCGATAATAACAAAAATGACCCACCGAAAATAATAAAAATGACCCACTGAAAATAATTAAAGTGACCTACAAAATAAATAAAGGGACCCACTGAAAGTAATTTAAGTGGCTCACCTAAAAAATAAAAGTGACCCGCCGAAAATAAACAAAGTGACCTACAGAAAATAATAAAAGTGACCAATCTAAAATAATACAAGTGACCCACCGAAGATAATTGTAGTGACTTACCTAAAATAGTAAATATGACCCACCTATAATAACCAAAGTCACCACCGAAAATAATCAAAGTGAGCCAACAAAAATAATAAAAGTGACCGACAGAAAATAATTAGTGACCCAGCGAAAATAATTAATGACCCATCGAAAATAATGAAAGTGACCAACAAAAAATAGTTAAAAGTTACCCACCAAAGATAATCAAAGTGACCAAACTAAATTGATTAAAGTCACCTATCAAAAAAAAATAAAAGTGACCAACAGAAAATAAAGAAAATTTACCATCGAAAAAATAAAAGTGACCTACCAAAAAAATTAAAGTGACCCACTGAAAATACTTAAAGTGACCCACCACAAAAATAAAAGTCACCTACCGAAAAAAATCAAAGTGACCCACAGATAATAATATAATAATTAAAATGACCCACCGATGGTAATTAAAGTGACCAAACAAAAAAGTTACCCGTTGAAAAAATTAAATTAACCCACCAAAAATAATAGAATAGACCCACTGAAAATAATTCAAGTGACCCACCGAAAATAATTCAAGTCACCACCGAAAATGATTTAAGTCACCACCGAAAATAATTAAAGTCATCCACCTAAAATACTAAAAGTGACCCGCCAAAAATAGAGTCACCCACCGAAAATAATAAAAGTGACCTGCCAAAAAATAAAAAAGTCAACCACCAAAATTAACTTAAACCAGCCAGAATTTTACCCTGGGTAAAAACAATGAGGAAGTGCTCCCACTGTGACCTTTCCAGCAGATTGAATAGTGAATTGGCCCATAAACTTATAAAAATCCTGGACAGTCTATCCTTTAGAACAAAGGCAGGATCATTTGCATACTGGTCAGTTTTCAAAGATTCAATTTTTTTATTATCTACTGGTTTTCAGTGTAACATTTTCAAAAGGCAGAATGACCCAGATACTTGCAAAACTGCAAGCAAAACTGAAAATTGCAACTTTCAGTTCGCAAAATCAACCTTGAACAAATTTCAACTTTCAAAATCAGCTCTGTCAAAGTTTTATCCAATGACATATACATGTACATGTATATGGTGCCCTTATTTTAAACATGTAATACCCTTCCTTGCTGTATCAAACTTTCAAAGTGTCTACTTGTATCTGTCTTTCTCACAACTGAATCAGCTTTGGCAGTTTTGTGTCTGACATATATATGGCTTGTAAATGTGGCTTGTAAAGGTATCAAGCTACAAGCCAGAGCATGGTAAGCCAGAGCTGTCATTACTAGTATACTTTATATTTTTGGTTACTAGTGAATATAGCTTCTTATACATTTCAAAGTCTCATATATATGTCTCATTTTATTTCTTGAATATATATATATATATATATATATATATATATATATATATATATATATATATATATATATATATATATATATATATCTCATTTCAAAGTGCCTTGAAGAGACACTTTTACTTGGCAAGCTAAACTGTCTTAGACAGGGCTCCCCCCATGTACACTGCACGGCGAAGTGAAAATAATTAAAGTGACTGGCCAAAAATAATTATAGTGACCGGCCAAAAATAATCCAAGTGACCCACCGAAAATAATTAAATGCTTTGTATTCCTGTCCATTATAATGTTCTACTAACTTCTATGTTATCATCTTTAACTTAACTTTGTATGATATCTGTTTGTAGTTGGATTATTCTTGACAAAGATAAAAAAATTATCAGAAGGTTCAAAATTATCAGAAGTATGCAAGGTAACCCTTGCTAGTCCCTTTTTATATTCCTTTTGACGCATAGAGTCTGTCATGCAAGTGTCTGTGATGCCTTCTTTTTTAAACCATCATAGTTAGGTAAGAGAATATTCAGAGATACCTATTAAGAGGAATCCTTTGGTACTAACAAATGAAGAAAGTTACTACCATTATAGTTAGCCAATTTCAATTGAAATAGTCCTAACCATTAGTTGTTCTCTTAAAAATTCGGCCCCATAGATTTATCAATGCATTAAATGGTTCTGCACTGTGCATGCACAGTGGACGTATCGGGGTCTCTCACAAAATACCTATTTTATTTGACACAT